ATCGGCTCCGGAGTATTTTTGTTGGGTAATCTATGGTAGGGCTAACCCATACAGTGGTGGGGCTCAAGTCAGTATTTGCAATGTAATTACATACACGCTATATCGCCCCCTTGACAGTGAAACGCCACGCGTGAGGTTTAGATTATTTCCCTATCTCAATCCAAATTGAACTGTATGAAATAAAAAGGCACATTTGTCTTGTAGTAAATAAAAAGGGCGACCTGGAGCCAATCCTGCTATTTTTCCACAGGTGAAAGAGTTGACGTGCTGAAAACCCAACCCCTGCACACATTCTGATACTCTCTTGAGAAGAAAAAGAAATAAATCTATTACTACACATTTAAAAAAATGAATGCCATTTTAGTTTGGTGTTACTTTGTTCTGAAAGCTGAACCTGCTGCTCCTCACAGAGAGAAGAGGGAAGAGGCTGTGTGAATTACTTTACATTGTGGATAAGGGTGGATAGCCCCCATTGTTCTGTGTGTCAAAATGAAAGACAGCCCACACACCTACCAATCATCAAACCGTGGGGTCTTATTTCATTACGTATCGATGTATCGATGTATATAGAGATGTACTACAGCAAAAGTATTCTCCGTCGGGACTTCCTGCAACAACACCTCGCCGTTATCTTGATTCTGATTGGCCAGAAGACATTATCAAAGATGTTCTATTGAGAAGACGATCACTACGTGACAACAGTTTTCAAAACCGTTTCTAGTCTTCGGTATTCTTGTTTTGGCGTGAGAATAGTTTGGGCAGCGTGAGAGCGTGAGATTGAGAGTGAAAGCCTGTGTCACACGCCAGATGCGTGAGAGTTGGCAACCCTGTGCTTAAGTGCAGGGATCAGGAGCCAGTGTATAGGTTGCTGGACTGTCTGCAGCACTGGATGCTTTAAGGGCCCTACCCTAAAGTGGACAGCAGTTCAGTCGTTTATTGTTAAGTTTATTGTTTATTGTTAAGTGGTGTGTGTTCAAATTCCAGATTCCATGATATCATACAAAAAATTATTGTTGTAGTTTTTTTTAGCTGTATGACTTGTTAATTGTTCATCTGCAATGTTTAATAAATGGAAAATTGTTTGAATGTGTGTCCATTGTATGTTTAATTATGTTTCTAAACACAGGCAAATAGCTACATACGTAAGGCAATACAATCAAACACTATTATTTTATCATCCACGCACCAACAGAACATTTGGAAATCAACCATTAATCAGAGGTTGTCGAAGTAATCAGATCTTGTACTTGAGTAAAAGTAGAAGTACTCAGATCTTGTACTGGAGTATAAGTAGAAGTAATCAGATCTTGTTCTTGAGTAAAAGTAGAAGTACAAGATCTGAAAGAGTCAGTGCCTCACCAGCCATGAACCTCACCGCACGTCACTGCTTTCAACGCTTCATACAGCGGCCGCATGATGTGTGCGGCCCGGGCGATGAAACAGTGGTAGAAGGTCACCATTCCCAGAAATTCACGGAGCGACCAGGCTGTGAGCGGGCGAGGAAAAGCCGCAACAGCCTCCACCTTCGCTGGCAGAGGTGCCGCACCGCCCTTGGTGACGCGGTGCCCCAGGAAATCAATGTCAGACAACCCGAACTGGCACTTTGCAGGATTGATGATTCGTGTTTGTTGAGCCGCGTGAAAAGGGATCGGAGGTGGGACAGGTGCTCTTGTACTTGAGTAAAAGTAGAAGTACTCAGATCTTGTACTTGAGTAAAAGTAGAAGTACTCAGATCTTGTACTTTAGTCAAAGTAGAAGTACCAGAGTGTAGGAATACTCTGTTACAGTAAAAGTCCTGCATTCAAAATGTTCCTCAAGTGAAAGTAGAAAAGTATTCTCGTCAAAAGACAGTAAAAGTAGTCATTTTGCAGATTGGTCCATTTCAGAACAATATATGATATGTTTTATAATGATTGATCATGAAAGTGTTCTCAAAGCTGGTAAAGGTGCAGCTGTTTGAATGACTTTGTATACTGCAGGGTAGCTGGTGGATTTACTCCAGGTGGAACTAAAGTCTGATTTAAGTGTTGATTACATTTCACATAATTAATCCAAATCTGTAAAGTTACTAAAGGTTTTAAATACATGGAGTGGAGTAAAAGTGGCTACGCTTTAAACTCTAAAATATAGTTACAGAAAGACAGACAGACATCGAGATAGAAAGACATCGAGACAGACATATACATAGAAAGACAGACATACGGACAGACTGTCTTCTGTACTTGTATGTATGAATATAATAATATACGTATATTTGTAACGCAGTCTAAAGGCAAATACGTAGAACCTTTATTTTGAAGAGTACAGCGCAAGCATAGGGCACACTAGCCAATCAGAAGCAAGGAGGCGCTGGAGACACACCCACTTATGGAAACGAAACATTGAGTGCTATACTTGTTTTAACAGTAAGAACAGAAAAACGAAAAAACGAGCTGAATTTCCGTTTTTTCGTTTTGGGGCAAAATTGAAAAACCAAAAAACGACCCGTTTCTGCTTTTTTTGTTATTTCAATTAGAACGAAAAAACAAACGGTTAAAACGTACCTTCGTCAACCTGGCATTCCATAAGAAAGTGACTAATATATAAACCAAATGTAATATTGGATCAAATACTACACCCAATGGACAGACACAGAATAAAAATCCGTCACTAGATGTCGCTCATTGTACCAATACGGTTTATATAATAACATTATTATTATAGTAAAAGGGCTCGCTTTGGCAAAATCCTGATCCATAAATAATAACAGGTAAGCATCATGTGTGGTGCTATCTGTAGTTGTCTTATTTTTTGTCGATTTCATCTTGTTTTCACAGAGCTGTGGAAATGAATTTCCCCCTGGGGACAATAAATCTAATCTAAACTAATGTAATATTCAATCCCACACTTGGCGATTGAGAACATACATTCGTAATTTACCTTGTTTAAATCACTTTTGTTCTAATACTATGGATTTAGTTGACACTACTAGCCGACTTTCTTTTGTCCAATATTTTGCGGGAAGGTACATTGAATTAGAAGCTTCTTATTATACATCCATGGGTAGAAGAAGAAGTATTAGAAAAAGAAATACACTAACGCTACAAACAGGCACAACACTGTTACTCTGTTTTTACTGACATGTAACATTTTATTTCACCTTGCTCTATGTTTTTTTACGCACATTCCGAAAATGGGGACTTTGCCCGGAAAACAGGGACGTTTTGGTCCCCCATCCGACTGTGTTTACAGATAAGCACACATGCTAACATTAATTAAGACTACAAGCTCACTTGGGGTTGAGGCTTGTTTACACGTTGCTTGACTGCCTGCCCACATATCTGATCTAAATATAGTAACGTGTGTTGGGGAAAATAATTATTTAAAGTTATTTAATAATTGTGACATTTATGTAACTTTTCGATGGCTGAATGATGCTCAAAGTGAGGGGGCAAATAAAACAACTTAGGGGGAAATGCCCCCTTTTGCCCCCTCGTGGCGCCAGGCCAGAGTCTTTCAAAGACGGCGAAGTTGTGAAAGAAGCATTCCTGGAGGCTGCCGACATGCTTTTTGGGGACAGTAAAAATAACAGTAGCATTTCAACAGGTTTTTGATATAATAAAAACTCAAGTTAGATACCGTTATTAATCAGCTGTAAGTTTTTGTTTGTTTGAACTTATTCATTATAATTATTGTACAAAATGGTAAAAGATAAAGATAAAGGTTATAGTCTATTATCAATTCAGGTTAAGTTAAGAAACTAGTGTTGCTTGCATCCTATTTTAAAAAGGCATTTATTTGTATACTCTACTAAATGAAACAAAAAAAGTGTTTGATTCTATTAATTTTGTCTTTTTTATTGCACGTTGGCAGCAGATTCCTGTGTAGCTTCAGATCTGAGTTGTCTTATTAGTAAGCCTAATTTATACTTTTGTAGCAACACTACTCAGTTTTACACAAGTAGAAGTGTGTATTTACCTGGTAGTAGGCTGTCAGTAATGGCTACGCCTGGACGCTTGGACTGGTAGATCTCGGCAGACTGGCAACTTTAAAAGTAGCTCTCGGTTCAAAAAAGGTTGGGCACCCCTGATCTAAGACAACATTTGTGAAGCGGATAAGATGAACTCAGCGTACAAGACACATCAATCCTGTGATGTCTGGTCATAATCCAGGCTCTATGTTCACATAGAGAAGGATATCACAGTGTTTTGGGGCCTATGTCGGTTAAAAGCCAGCAGAAGGGTGTATTAGTCTGGGAAATAACTCATAATAAAGTTGTACATTAACAAGAAAGAAACTGTTATAGTGTTTGAAGCTTGTTCTTCCCCAGCTCTCCTACGTGATGTCCGGCTGGCGTTACTTCGTCTGCCCGGTGGAGTTCAACAACGACTCCAACCGGTTCCAGGTGGACTGCGAGCCGTTGGAGCTTTTCCAGCTGCAGGACTACACCCTGCCCTCCGTTCTGGAGTCCTTCACCGGATGGGTAAGACTCTCCTGGCCTTCATCTGTCCTTCCTGTTTTCTGGCATCACAAGTCATATAAACATGAATGTAACTATGAAACAATAAAATCACTATATTGCAAATCCAGTATGCCAAAAAACAAGAGGGATCTGTAATATTTGCAGAATCATGTATTTGTGTCGCAACACTTGTTGTCAGCTATGTTATTTAGTTTTAATCCTGTGTTACTCATTAATTCAAGTTCAAATATATCTAAATGTTGTTTCTAGAGCACACATTAACTGAACCGAAGTCCTGTTTAACACCAGGTTTTTTTTATCATATGTTTCAACCTCATTATATTTTTCTCAGACAGGTTTGATTTTGATACTAAAAGCCTCGGGATGCAAGTCCTATTTTAGCAAAATAACTAGTTTAGTTTGATTGAACTGCTGGTCTCTGCTTCAGTCTGACACATGTTCCTTGTCACCGCAGACCACGGTGCGTCTGTATCCGTTCCAGATCCACAGCATCGCTCTCTCCTCCTTCGCCTCCATCATGGGACCCTTCGGAGGATTCTTCGCCAGTGGCTTCAAGAGAGCCTTCAAGATCAATGTAGGGATTTCTGATGTGACGGCCCCAGAGCCTGTGTGCAAGGTGTGTTACAGGTCTTACGGTGGGGTGGAGCTGAAGAGGCCAATCAGCGCGATCGCGGACACCTGGCCGGCGCCGAGGTGCTATTAAGCCCAGCTGCCCGGAGTCACATGGCTGCCCTGACTCTCTCCAAGCCGGCCACAGGAGGAGTAACACGGCGATCCTCTCCCCTCGTCCATCCATCTTGTACTTTATATTGAACAACCGCAATAAATGTGCCGTGGTTTTTGGAAACTCGTGTACGTCTTGTCATCTTTCCGTTGTGGCCGACGAGCCGGTCATAACAACTGGGGGCTCGTCTATCGTGAACTTGAGTATGAACCGGGAGTTGGTTGGATTGTTTTGGCGTTAGCTGTGCCTGAATTAGCCTGTGTTCATGGCTAGTTGGTAGCCTGAGTTTTTTTTTTGAGGGGATTCCCTCTGAGGACAGTGATGTATGTGGCCTTATATGGTGTTGTGGATGCACTCTACGGGTGCCTAGGCGTTATTTTGGAACGCGGATGGTCCCAGGTTTGTGGGATTTGATGAGATGTGTTTTTGTCCGATAGCGGTGATCTGTTCTCTTAAATATTCGCTGAAAAATAGGAGGTAGTGGTCCCGCCTGTGTATACAATACCTGTAGGAGTGTTTCCCCTGGTGGGTTCAAGAGGCGTTTCCCCTTTGGGTTTCGTCCGGGGGGGCTTTGATAGTGTTGAGGTACGGCGGTTAGAGCTTCACTTTCCCTTTTCCCTTAACTTGCTCGGGAGCACTTCCGTGGTTCAGGGGGGTTGCCGATTACCTGGTCGCCTCTCTCGGTCCAGCGGGCTTTAAGTGCATAAGTACCCACCGTTACGCCTCATGAAGACTAGGGGGGGAGTTATGTAGTAAGTTTGTGATTAAGAAGTCAGCTAGCGGGGCTGCTCATTCCTACTGTGTGCACAGGTGGGCTAAGAAATTGCATTTCCTCTGTGTAAATAGATATTATTGGGTAAATATCGGTAAATATGGAGGATATTGTGGGGGCGTTTGTGGCTGCAACTTCTGAAGGTTTCTTGGATCAATTGGTGAACATAGCTCAGTATTATGGGTTTGAAGTTGGCGATAAAAGAGTGAAATTGTCGGTGAAAGCCATTTTGAGGGCTTGTTTGTTGAAAAGTAAAGTGTTTGATACTCCTGTCCCCGGGCGCACAAAATAAATGGCGGGTCAAAGTGCGGTTTTGAGTTTTCGAGCAACAGAAGGAGTTACTCAGATTACGCTTAGAGTTGGAGACGGAAAAGGAGTTGGCCGTGGAGAAGATGCGACAGGGCATTGAGCTGGAAAGAGCGGTGTCCTTGGAGAAATTGAGGCAGGAAACTGAGCAGGCTAAGTTGGAGTTTCAGAGGGAGAAACTGGAATTAATTAGAGAGGGCAAAGTAGCGGCTGATGTCCTGTTTCCTGATTATTCAGCGAGTCAAAGCGGGGCCCCAGGGAGGTCAGTGGATGACTTAAATGATTTGAAGTTGGTTCCGAGGTTTAATGAGAAGGATCCGGATTTTTTTTTTTCAATGTTTGAACTTCTCGCAGGTGTAATGAGGTGGTCTGAGGCCACTCGCGTGTTATTGTTACAGTGTGTGTTAACCGGGAGGGCTCAGGAGGCTTATTCATCTTTAAGTGGCAGTGACTATTTGCGCTATGATTTAGTTAAATCTGCCGTTCTCAGGGCTTACGAGCTGGTGCCTGAAGCTTATCGTCAGCGGTTTAGGAATTGGAAGAGAGGTGATAAATCTCACCTTGAGTTTGCTCGGGATATTTCCACCCATTTCGATCGCTGGTGTGCGGCAACTGACGTTGATTCTCACGGGACGTTGAGGGATCTCGTTATTTTGGAGCAATTCAAAAATTCTGTACCGGAGCACATTGCAGTGTATATCAGTGAGCACGCAGTCAGGACAACTGCTGAAGCTGCTGCATTAGCAGATGACTGTGTTTTAACACACGTTAAGGGAGATGCTGCCGTACAAAGCAGTCACGGTGGAAATTCCTTGGGTGTGGGAGCGTGGTCTGGTCTTCCAGTGAGACCTGCTGGGCAGGACAGTGGGTATGGACGTGGTGCACGTGAGCCTGACAATGTGTGTCATTACTGTCATGAGCAAGGGCACTGGAGAAAAGACTGCAATGCATTTAGGGCTAAAGCTGAGCAGGAAGGGACTAGTGGTAGTCCCAGGCCAGCAATGTTCGTGGCACCTGTCGCTGAGCAGGTGACTGGGCCTTTAGACGGTGAGTTGAAACCACAGAGGTCTAGCCCAGAACTACAGTCTTATTTGCCTTTCATGACTGAGGGGTTTGTTTCTCTGGTGGGGAACGATGAGAAGGTGCGGGTAAGACACTGGATCATTTGATTCGTTCATTTTGGCATCTGCCTTACCATTTTCAGAGGACACATACATGGGGTTGTTCATTCCGACACTTGGAATCAGATTAAATGTTCTTCGGGTGACTCTCCATTAAATGATGCTGTGTTCGGATCTGTTTGAGGGTGAAGTAGCGGTTGACGTGCGGCCCGCTCTGCCCATAGATGGGGTCACGATGATACTTGGTAACGACATTGCAGGTAGTCGTGTGTGGGCTGATGGGGCACCTCCTGCTATTATGGCGCCAGTGACCCTGGTTAGTATTAAGCCAGACAAGAGCGAAACTGAGTACCCTGACGTGTTTAAAGCATGCGCTGTGACACGGGGAATGAAACGTGGGCAGACAGAGGTCATGAGCACAGCTGAAATCGATGAGGCCTCACCGCAGCATGGGGTGACGTGTCTCGAGATTCCCTGGTCGGTTTCTCACGCTGAGCTGGTGGAGGAACAGCGTCCTGATGCATCTCTGGAGGGTCTAAGGGAGAGTGTTCTTCATGGTGGTGAGGTGAGAGGTCGTGCTCAGGGGTATTCACTTCAGGAGAGTGTTGCGTATTTTGCTGGCAAACCGGTTTACCAGGTCGGGGTGTCTTCCAGGTTCCGGAGCATGGCGGGAAAGAAAAAAAAGAAGAAAAAAAAAAAAAAGGGAAGAAAAATTTAACGCGTTATAGTTAGCTGAACTAGTCAGTGACTTGTTTGTTTTTCTTCGTTGTTGTGGGCGCCATGTTCTTTGTGGGGTGTTTCCGTTTGTGTGTAGGCACCAGGGTTCCGATGGGGACCCTGATTTTATGGGGGGGGCTGTGACGGCCCCAGAGCCTGTGTGCAAGGTGTGTTACAGGTCTTATGGTGGGGTGGAGCTGAAGAGGCCAATCAGAGCAATCGCGGACACCTGGCCGGCGCCAAGGTGCTATTAAGCCCAGCTGCCCCGAGTCAAATGGCGGCCCTGACTTTCTCCAAGCCGGCCGCAGGAGGAGTAACACGGCGATCCTCTCCCTTCGTCCATCCATCTTGTACTTTATATTGAACAACCGCAATAAATGTGCCGTGGTTTTTGGAAACTCGTGTACGTCTTGTCATCTTTCCGTTGTGGCCTACGAGCCGGTCATAACACTGACACGTTTGTTTACTTAATAATCCAACCATCCCTTTAATGTCTGTTGTCTTTGCTCCATGTATATTATATTCATAGCAGCAGTCTGATCAGATGTACTGTTGTTTGTTCTTCCAGGATTTTGCCAACACGATCCCGGGTCACGGTGGCATTATGGACCAGTTCGACTGCCAGTACCTCATTGCTACATTTGTTAACGTCTACATTGCCAGCTTCATCAGGTAAACACACAGCTATGGCTTGTTCATATGTTTTATAACCTAATTAGCAATGTACAGTGACTGTGAAGGAATTCATCATCAAAGTTAGAGGTTATTTATTTTATTTCCGACTGTTAGAGAAAGTATTTTATTTCTTGAAGAAAACAAACTGTTGCTTGAACATTCAATTAGCTAGCTTGCTAATAACCATTAAAGAGTTATCTCCGTCTCTTGAGTTGTTGTATGTCTTCCTCTGACACTGAATAAATAAACAAACATGAAACTAAAGTGGGGCGGGTGTGGGGATACTCACAAGTCCCCAGTTGGGTGCTTCGTTGTTGGAGTTTACCCCAGTGGACGAGAGGGTCGCCTCCCTACGCCTGCGGGTTATGGGGGGGAAAACTCTGACTGTGTGTGCTTATGCACCAAACAGCAGTTCAGAGTATACAGCCTTCTTGGAGACCCTGGAAAGAGTCCTGTATGGGGCTCCTGAAGGGGACTCTTTAATCTTGCTGGGAGACTTCAACGCACATGTGGGCAATGATGGAGACACTTGGAGGGGCGTGATTGGGAGGAACGGCCCCCCTGATCTGAACCGGAGTGGTGGTTTGTTACTGGACTTCTGTGCTAGTCATGGATTGGCCATAACAAACACCATGTTCGAACATAAGAATGCTCATAAGTGTACGTGGTACCAGAGCACCCTAGGCAGAAGGTCCATGATCGATTTCGTTATTGTATCATCGGACCTGAGGCCCTATGTTTTGGACACTCGGGTAAAGAGAGGGGCGGAGTTGTCAACTGATCACCATCTGGTGGTGAGTTGGGTCGAGTGGCGGGGGAAGCCTCTGGATAGACCTGGTAAGCCCAAACGTGTAGTTCGGGTGAACTGGGAACGTCTGGAGGAGGCCCAAGTTCAGGAGGCCTTCAACTCACACCTCCGGCGGACCTTTCGGGCATTCCTGTGGAGGTTGGGGCCATTGAACCAGAGTGGTCGGTGTTCAAAGCCTCTATTGCCGAAGCCGCGGCGGAGAGCTGTGGTCTCAAGGTCCTAGGTGCCTCAAGGGGCGGTAACCCTCAAACCTCCTGGTGGACACCGGTGGTCAGGGAAGCCATCCGACTGAAGAAGGAGGCCTTCAGGGATTTGTTATCCCGGGGGACTCCCGAGGCAGTTGCAAGGTATGGACAGGCCCGAAGGGCAGCAGCCTCATCCGTGGCCGAGGCAAAGCAGCGGGTGTGGGAGAAGTTTGGAGAAGACATGGAGAAGGACTTTCGGGCGGCAAGTTGTTCTGGAAAACTGTCCGACACCTCAGGAGGGGGAAGCAGGGAAACATCCAAGCTGTGTACAGTAAGGATGGGACGTTGTTGACCTCAACTGATGGAGTGTTAGGGCGTTGGAAGGAACACTTTGAGGAACTCCTGAACCCAACAACTCCGCCCTCTATGTTAGAGGCAGAGCTGGAGTATGACGGGGGATCAACACCAATCTCCCGGGGGGAGGTCACTGAGGTCCTCAAACAACTCCTTATACCTCATTCACACCAACGGTGTTTTCAGGGCCGGTTCGGAGCTGGAGCTTGAAAAGCACCGGGTTTTCCTCTTCACACCGCAGCGGAGCAGCCTCTTAGCTCCGGAATCCGGTTAGTTTCAAGCACCAAAAAATTGTCCGGCCAGAGCAAAAGCACCACATACGTCACGCTTACGTCGAGGCGGGGGCAGGGGCAGAGACAGATCAACTCCTGAACAACAACAAAAAGCCGGCGTTGTATCCAGTTTGTACACAACGATGGAGAAACTTAACAAGCAGCAGGGGTCCACTGAAGAGACCAGCTACCTACTGGGAATCTGGTCTTCCGAAGAGGTACAGAGGAAGCTGGAGCACAATCGGCCATTGTTGTTGTTGTCGGTGTCAGCTGTGAGGGGTTTCTGCGTGGTTTGGCTTTATGAAGCAGGCACGCAAACGAATGCGTCATGACGCAAACGGTTGCGTCATGACGCAATGACGCAGCACCAGTCGGTGTGAAAAGGCGGTGGGCGGTGTGAAAAGAGCCTCCGCTAAACCGAAGAACCGGTTCTGAACCTGAAAAGCTCTAGCACGGAGCTTGAACCGGAGTTGCGTTGGTGTGAATGAGGTAACAGTGGCAAAGCCCCGGGGGTGGATGAGATCCACTCCAGAAATGCTGAAGGCTCTGGGTGTTGAGGGACTGTCATGGTTGACACGTCTCATCAACATTGCGTGGAAGTCGGAAACAGTACCGAAGGAGTGGCAGACTGGGATGGTGGTTCCCCTTTTTAAAAAGGGGGATCAGAGGGTGTGTGCCAATTACAGAGGCATCACACTACTCAGCCTCCCCGGGAAAGTTTACTCTAAGGTACTCGAAAGGAGGGTCAGGCCGATTGTCGAACCTCAGATTGAGGAGGAACAATGCGGATTCCGTCCTGGTCGTGGAACGATGGATCAGCTTTTTACTCTCGCAAGGATCCTGGAGGGGGCCTGGGAGTACGCTTATCCGGTCTACATGTGTTTTGTAGACTTGGAGAAGGCGTATGACCGAGTTCCCAGGGAGTTACTGTGGGAGGTGCTGCGGGAGTATGGGGTGAGGGGGTCTCTACTCAGGGCCATCCAATCTCTGTACTCCCAAAGCGAGAGCTGTATCCGGGTCCTCTGCAGTAAGTCGGACCCATTTCCGGTGAGGGTTGGCCTCCGCCAGGGCTGCGCTTTGTCACCAATCCTGTTTGTAATATACATGGATCGGATTTCGAGGCGTAGTCATGGGGGAGGGGGTCTGCAGTTCGGTGGACTAAGGATTGCACCACTGCTTTTTGCAGATGATGTGGTTCTGATGGCTTCATCGGTCTGCGACCTTCAGCACTCACTGGATCGGTTCGCAACCGAGTGTGAAGCGGCTGGGATGAGGATCAGCACCTCCAAATCTGAGGCCATGGTTCTCAGCAGGAAACCGATGGACTGTCCACTCCAAGTAGGGAATGAGTCCTTACCCCAAGTGAAGGAGTTCAAGTATCTCGGGGTCTTGTTCTTGAGTGAGGGAACAATGGAGCGTGAGATGGGCCGGAAAATCGGAGCAGCGGGAGCGGTACTGCAGTCGCTTTACCGCACCGTTGTGACGAAAAGGGAGCTGAGCCAGAAGGCAAAGCTCTCTGTCTACCGGGCCATTTTAGTTCCTACCCTCACCTATGGTCATGAAGGATGGGTCATGACCGAAAGAACGAGATCGCGGATACAAGCGGCCGAGATGGGTTTTCTCCGCAGGGTGGCTGGTGTCTCCCTTAGGGATAAGGTGAGAAGTTCGGTCATCCGGGAGGGACTCGGAGTTGAGCCGCTCCTTCTTCGCGTCGAAAGGAGCCAGTTGAGGTGGTTCGGGCACCTAGTTAGGATGCCACCTGGGCGCCTCCCTAGGGAGGTGTTCCAGGCACGTCCAGCTGGGAAGAGACCAAGGGGTAGACCTAGGACCAGGTGGAGGGATTATATCTCTTCGCTGGTCTGGGAGCGCCTTGGGATCCCCCAGTCAAAGCTGGTTGATGACGACAGGGAAAAGAAAGTTTGGGGCTCTCTGCTGGAACTGCTACCCCCGCGACCCGACCATGGATAAGCGGGAGAAGATGGATGGATGGAAACTAAAGTATGCAAACTGAATTTAGTTGGAGACTTTTCATTATTGGTCAATATCGCTGAAGGGTGCCTTTGAGACTTCATGATTACTGAAAACAAATATTTTAAATGTAACTTCATATTGAGTTCACTATGTAGATCAGACTGTAAAAATGCAATGTAGTCACTTTCTATAAACGAACTCAAAGCAGATAAAGCACGTGGTTCCAGCTTGAACCCTCAGAAAAGGAACCCTCAAATGTAACATGTTCATATTTTTTGTTTCAAATGCTTTCATTGAGAAGAAGCATACAAGTATTAACAATGGTACATACTTCTTTTCAACATAGAAGACAAACAGAACAGCCAACAAGATATAACAAAGACAGAACATAGCATGACAGGAATACTATACTCAATGACATACATAGTCATAGTGGGAAAGAACATACAAAATAGTATATATAATACAAATAAATAAATAAACTTAAAGGTTATGTTCCTATTTTTCGTATTTATTCTTCTACCACCCATCAATTTATTTGGGATCGATGGTGAGATTTGATGGTTCTAATCTTAGTAATTTCCCTCCCTAATTATCTCCCCTCTCCTCTCAGGGGCCCGAACCCCAGCAAGGTGATCCAGCAGCTCCTGGCGCTGAACATCGACCAGCAGCTCCACATCTTCAACTCCCTGAAGGCTCACCTGACGGAGAAGGGTTGTATTACCACTGTTGGTCAGATAGAATATAATTATATTTTGATGCCAATACTTTTGTACTTTTACTTCAGTAACATCTTGAATGCAAGACTTTTACTATAACAGAGTGTTCCTACACTCTGGTACTTCTACTTTTACTCAAGTACAAGTTCTGAGTACTTCTACTTTTACTCAAGTACAATATCTGAGTACTTCTACTTTTACTCAAGTACTAGATCTGAGTACTTCTACTTTTACTCAGTACAAGAGCTGAGTACTTATTCCACCTCTGCAGCTTACAATAAGTCAATCAACCACGAGGATGCAAACTCCGAACAGCACAAATCTTGCAAGCACATTAGCTTCAGATATGCCAAACATTTGTAATTCCTAGACAGATATTTGATTTGTGTGCCTGCGACCTGTTTAGCTTAATGATGTTTATTTATTTTCCCTATATGAGTATTTTCTGTTAGTGATAATAGTTTTTTTTGGAAAGAGTGGTTTTATTATTTATCCAGTAGTAGGCGGTAACGTCCGGATGCCAATTGCATCTTAAAACCGGAAAGAAGAAATCCTTCTCGCTTTTATTTTGACGTCCTCAAACCGCACCGGAAGTGAAGTTCCCAGCTCTTAAAGGAAGCCCATTTAGCCATTACGAGCTGTAGCTGGATGCTGGGGCGCAGACAAACAAGCATTAATAGACAAATACAGATCAATTATCAGGTCCACAATAGACTATGGTTGTATAGTGTATGGAGCAGCAGCAAAAACGTAAACAAAGGCAACAAATTGATAGACTACAATATAAAGCATTGCGGCTGTGTATTAGAGCGATAAAGTCATCCCCTATTAATGCAGTTCTGATAGAAGCAGGAGAGACACCTCTGGAGATCAGAAGAGAGAAACTTGCTCTGTCATACTGGGTCAGGCTACAAGAAAGTGGAGAGGGAAATATCACAAACAGAATACTGCAGGATTGCTGGGAATATACAAAGTTCCAAGGGCGTGGGTTTGGCTGGACAATTAAGGAGAGAACGAGGGCATATGGAGTGGAGACCATCACGTTTGCCAAAGCAAGCCCATTTAGCAGTGTTCCCCCATGGCTTTCCCCAGAAGCTAACATAGATATGAGTATCATAGAAAGGAAAAAAGAGTGTCAAATAAATGAAGTGGGAATTAAAACGAGTATGTACCTGAACGAAAAGTCTTACAATTACCTCAACATTTACACAGATGGATCTAAGAAGCAAGAATGCGTGGGAAGGCGTGAATATCCCAGAATTCAAAATATCAATCTCAAAACGAGTGTCAAATAACTTATCAGTTTATACAGCAGAAATACTCACAGCAATTATTGGGCTACAATGGGTTGAAGAGGTCAGATAGGGTGGTGATATGCACAGACTCACTATCTGCATTGGAAAGCAAACAGTCGACAATAACTGTTAGAGAAGATTTAATCATTGAACTTAACCATTGCTTACTGAGACTTCAGAGGAGGGGCATATATGTGCAGTTATGCTGGGGGCCTGCACATGAGGGGGTTAAAGGGCATGAGCATGCTGATAAGTTAGCAACATATACGTTACTTAAGGAAATAGCAATACCAGTTTCACTTGGGAAAGGAGAAGGAAAAGCAATAATGAAGAAGAAGGGTATGGAAATATGGGAGAAAATGTGGGAGGAAGATCAGAAAGGGAGGAGATGCCACAAGTTACAGAGATCAGTCATAACAAAGATCTATACAGAAAGGAACAGGCGGGAGGAGATCATCATCACTAGACTCAGACTGGATCATACAGGATTAAACGACACAATGTTTATTATGGGAAAAAGCGAAGTTGAAGAATGCAGGGGGTGTGGAGTGAAAGAAAATGTGGAACACTTCATATTACACTGCAACATGTACAAAACAGAGAGGGAACAACTACGAGACAGGGTCAGAGAGCAGGAAGGGAGTGGAGCCTGATGGGGATACTGGGAACAGAAGGTGAGGGGGTAAGAGCTACCAGGGAGGCCATTCTTAAGTATTTGAGTGAAACAGGATTGATTGGAATAATTTAAAATAACGTAAATACAGTGGTATAATTCCACAAGTGGTGATAGGATGATATGCTGATATACACTCTTGTACAGTAGGTGGCGGTATGCACCTTAAAGTTGTTTGCAATCCGCCAAAAACTGAGAGAAGAAGAAGAAGAACCTGGATCAAGGAGGCCTCTTGTCGCTACGGTTCTCTCTCTCTGTGTTCCCGATAAAGTGCGTGTGAGCTCCAGCACTACTGATCCATCATCTGTGTGTCTGGATAAACCTCTGAATGGACTCGGTGCTCTTTTTCTGGAGCGTTTACCTCGGACTACAGGAGCTAGCTTAGCATGCTAGCTGGAAACACGTTAGCAACACTAGTCAGATTGAGAGTTTGATGGAGAGAGAAACGGTGTGTTTAACGGAGTTTGCAGGAAAAGGTGATCTATTAAACATGAGTAAAGTCCAAATGCTGCTGTCGTTGAAGAAGCAGCGACTCACTGCTGCTGTTGAAGATATATTTGCTCTGTTTGAAAAAACGATAGCAGAGCACGAGGAGGAGCTGTCTCTTTCCAAAGAGGAAAACGAGAGACTCCAGAAACAACTGGACGCTGTTTTACTGCCTCATCTTCGGATACACAGAGCAGGTATGTTCCTACTCTTAATTAACACTTTAAAGCAGGGGTGTCAATGCGGCTCGCTGGCCATTTTGAATTGGCCCTCAGCTAATTCAGAAAGTATAATGAATTATGGCCCACAAATGAAACTTGTGCTTTTCTTATATTGTACTTCTTAAATATATATGTACAGATATATTACACAGTAGTATTCATGTGTTAATAAGCCCACCTTTCAAATAAATGCAATCAAATTCATGTTGATAACATTTTCTAACAAATTGATACAAAAAAGCCTTATAACTTATTTCCATAACAAGCTTGAAATAGACCCTTCATATTTCATCTTATTATAACCTCTGACACTTCTGTGTTAAGGTATGAGCTGCCAACAAGATAAATGAAACCCTATAGATAGCTGTGATGTAGGCGGTTTTTTTCTTAAAGCATATTCATGTATCGAGCCTAATTTACCTACATGTTGCTAACTTATAACTTAACTGATTTTTAAATTTTTTTTTTTATTTATCCTTTATTTATCCAGGAATGTCCCATTGAGATACAAGATCTCTTCTTCCAGGGAGTCCTGACCAACACGGCACACAACAAGTTTCAACATAAAACAAGGGCATTAAACAAAAAAACATACAATTCAAATATAAATACAGAAGGCCATTTGTGCAGTGGCAAGAAGCATAATCACATCAGCAATAGCATCAGGTAAAACAGTTACATGTTTCATGAAGGGCTAATCGTAGCATACCTTTAAAAGCATTTACAGTAGGAAGTGCCTCTCGACAAAGTTTTACTTGCAGCGTATTCCATAAAAAGGGAGCATAGTGGGAGAATGCAGTTTTACCAAGCTCTGACTGCATCAAAGGAACATTTAAAAGCATCCCATTTGCTGCTCGTCTGGTATTATAAAAGCAAGTATAAAAGGACAGAAGTCTGGAGATATATAAGGGCAGCTTACCTAGCAATGACTTAAGGATAAAAATCAACATGTGTGATTGTCTTCTTTGGTACAGAGAGGACCATCCTAGGGATTGATACAAAGTGCAGTGGTGGGTGCGAGAGCCTGCACCCGTTACAAAACGTATAGCAGTATGGTACGCAGAATCCAGCTTTTTAAGCAGGGAGGAAGGAGCATGCATATAGATCACATCGCCATAGTCTAATACAGACAGAAAGGAACTCTGCACAATTCTCTTCCTGGCTTCAGACGGGAAACATTTCTTTAAACGGAAGAAAAAGCCCAGTTTAGGTCTAAGTTTTCTCAGTAGGTTCCCAATATGAACATCAAAGGCCATCTTTTCATCAATCCATATGCCCAGATATTTGTAGGATGCTACTTTGTCAAGGCATGTCCCTTCCAGTGTCAGAATCGGAGGGACAGCTGTATTAGCTCGAGAGCGAGAGAAGGTCATGTACTTGGTCTTTTTTGCATTAAGGACCAGTCTTAGCCTTAGCAAGGAGTGTTGCAGTGTATTAAAAGCATCCTGTAGAAGCTCTATGGCCTGGGTTAAAGAGGAAGCCACTGTGTAAACAACTGTATCATCGGCGTATAAATGAAACCGTGCTGGGTTTATCCCATTTCCTAGTTCATTTATAAAGATGGAGAATAAGACGGGGGCCAAAATAGAACCTTGTGGAACACCTTTGTTTACAGTAAGAGCAGCTGAGGTATAATCTTCTACTGAGACACACTGAGTTATTTCAGATAGATCGTTTTTAAACCAGCTCAAAGCCATTTTGCCAAGACCTATGCAGCCAAGCCTCTGCAGTAGCAATGCATGATCCACAGAATCAAAAGCTTTAGACAGATCAACAAACAATGCTGCACAGTGTTTTTTCTTGTCTAGTGCTTCAATTATGTCATTTGAGACTAGCATAGCCGCTGAAGTAGTACTATGGCCTGATCTGAAGCCTGACTGAGACTCGTTAAGAATATTATGGTCAGTTAGAAACTTTTTCAGTTGTTCGTTTACAAGAGATTCAAAGACTTTGGCCATTACAGACAGTCTGGAAATAGGGCGATAATTATTTAGGTCAGAGGGGTCTCCGCCCTTTAACAAGGGGAGAACCATGGCCGACTTCCAGGAGCTAGGCAATTCACCAGCACAAAGACTGAGATTCAAAATAGAGGTTATGGGTTCTGCAATCAGACCTGCAGCAACTTTGAAGAAGAACGGCTCTATCTTGTCTGGGCCTGAAGATTTCTTTACATCTAGGCTCATTAAAGCTTTGAGAACCTGAGAGGTCAAGATGGGGGCAAAGGTGAACAGTTGATCAGGGTCAAGTGGCGGAGGACCTG